GATCTCCCTCCCCTTTATTCAGAGACGACGACCAAAGCTCCATTTCAGTCTCCCCCACTTCCGCTTCTCCACAACTTATTACCTCTTCTTCTGATGTCCCGCCTCCTTCATCTGACAATCATGACCATTGTGTTTCTCAAATATTTATGTGGAATTAAATAAAAGTGAGTTGTGTGTGGTAATTAAATTATATTCAAATAGGAATGTAACAAATATTTAATTTGCTACAAGCATAGTATAGTCGGAATGTAGGATGAATTCTTGATACTCCCTCCGTCCCAAATTATAAGATACTTTTCGGTTTATGATGTTTGACCGACGATAAAGTAAACGGATCCATGTGTGCACTCAAATTAATTTTAGAAAAAAAGAATTACATATTCAGAAACTACATTAAAATCGCTACAAAACCTACAAAAAATAATTCAAATTTCATAAAATTTTGATATACTTCGTATAAAATAAGAAATTAAGAGTGATTTGTGTTGACCAAGTAATTAGTAAAGACATCCTATAAAATGGGACAGAGGAGTACTCCGTACTATATTCTACCATTATACTTAGTGCGCATTATTCTCTTTAAAGTTTCATACATCAAATTAGAATATAATTATAAATTTTTATCTTAATTAAGTGAATAGAATGAAATTATTTGACAAAAAAAATCATTTTACAAATTAATTTGAGACGGAAGTAAGACAAATCTTCATGTCAGGCCGGCCTGATGTGATGCTCCGTCCGGCCGAGCCCGTTTGGGCACCTTCTCGGTGGAATTTTTTGATGAAATTTTTTGAACATGTTTCTCATCAAGTCTAGTTTGTCCATACCAAATTTCAGCTCAAAATTCGATCGGGAAGGCATTCGAATCATTTTTTGAAGTTGACTGCAGTTTTATATGTATACTTTGACGCAGCCAACTTCAAAAAATGATTTGAATGCCTTCCCGATCGAATTTTGAGCTGAAATTTGGTATGGACAAACTAGACTTGATGAGGAACATGCTCAAAAAATTTCATCAAAAAATTTCACCGGGAAGGAGCATCCCGTCAGGCCGGCCTGACAAGAAGACCACTCACGGAAGTAATACTTAATGCAAAAAAAACAATTTTACCAATCAATTTAATTTGTTTAATACTCCCTCCATCTTGCAATTAAGTTCACAGTTTGACTTCACACAGATTAAGAAAATAAATTTGACTTTACTGTGGAGTGCACTGTTTTGCACTGTTTAAACACTGTTTGGACACTGTTTGGCACTGTTTTGATGTAGATAATTTGTCAAATAAGGAAAGTTTTGAAGTGTGAAGTTAATTGCGGGACTGTCCAAAGAAAAAGTGAGAAGTTGTTTACGAGATGGAGGGAATAATATTCATGCAAAACAACCTAGAATATGACATGATCCACGGTTCGACAAGGTCGTCCGATGGTATAAGTTCACTTATCATTAAACCCGAAACTTCGTGCAATAATATACTACAGTAGAATATAATCACCTTGCCTAAAAGTCAAACTGGGATTTAATACTTATTGACATGCTTCATTTTACTTTGTCACAAGTTGTTTAGTAAAGTCAAATGAACATGTATGTATATATATGCATTACACTACAAATTAATTAACAGGCGGTCATTAAATCTACATACATTTCAATAAATGTTTATTATATACTTGCTACCTTCAATTCATTCTTCAATAGTTGGAACAATTTGAATATGACAGTATATATTCAGATACTCTATAATGATAGCATTTCATTTATTATTTTACTAAAAATATTGCTCTTGTATAAAATTTGGCTTGGCCTAATTTCAGATTATGAATTAAACATTGTAATGATCCAAATTGTGCATTCACAAATTTAAATTTTAAACTTCTGCAATTAAACAAGAAAACGAAAGTAAAAAATATGTTGAGAAAGAATATATTGATAAACAATGCAAACCACTGCGGCCTTGAAAAGTTGAAGCTTTCTTTGAATGTCGGGTTCAATGGATAGATATGGAGTGTCATAAGCGATAAGTCTCGGGTTCGAATTATGACAATTGCGATGAGAGATTGCTATATAAAGATCTTTGCAAATAACTATATCAAAACATCACTTTCTATCTTTGTAATTAAAGTTTAATTTACATCCCTAATTAAATGTTTGATCGGTGCTAGGGTTGTTAGGGACAGAATGTTACTACTTCCGTCCCCCTAAGTTTGGGACAAGAGAAGATGACACGATTAATAATAAAAGTGGGTTATGTGATTGATATTGAATTGATAAAGTAAGAATAAAGTAAGAATCATTTCGAACCATACAAATTTTACCAAATAAGATATGAGACAATCTTAGTTGGACGAACCGAAAAGGTAAAATGGGACAATCATAGCGGGACGGAGGGAGTATCTTTTATTTTTTTCTTTGAATGTTGCTATTAATAATAACAGCATTTGCTGATTTCATACCGGTGGGCGTAGCTCAACTGGTAGCGAGGGAGTGCCACAAGGGTTAGGTCTCAGGTTCGAATCCCGGCAACTGCGATGAGGGGTTACTATGCTGAAAAATGCATAGGGCATCTGTAAGTATCGGGGACAGAGCCTCACCCTCTATCTGTCAGATTGTGATTATAGTCCAATTTACATCCTCCCATCGTGCCGTCCGGTCGGTGTTGGGGGCCCTCAGGGATGGGGTGTCACCCTTTTTTTTTTTAGCATTTGCTGATTTCATGACCAATTGACCACATAAGTGGCAGTGTCATTGAGAGAAATTGGTCAGGAAAAACTGTATTGTTCAAACCTTTCATTATGTACACTTTGTGTAGCCGGGGAGTTATGGTGGGCCAATCTGTACTGATTAGGGTTTGTCAGTTGCATTTAGACAAATACTTTAAGGCGTTGGAACTTGGGACCTTTTGATAGCATGCACTCCCGGAACCGGCCAACCCCACCCCGAATATTGTCAGCTTTTTATAATAAAACATCTTATCTTGACCATGATAATTTTAGGGAAAAAATATTGGGGACACGTTTTATTTTGTATGCGTAAGAAAGACAAGTATATACCAAAAAGTATTTTCAAATGATGTTTCGTACCAGTATTCGTTAGGTGCGGTACATTCCAATGGTATGAATGTATGATTATAACACTTCCAAAAAGAATGTCAAAGTTAGAATTTCGTTCTAATTTTAAAATGTGGAATATTAGCATATATCAGGTGCTATGGGAAATTCCGTTCTAGAACAATATCACATGGTTTATCAGTTTCTTAAAACTTGTGATTTAACAAAATTAAAGACTTAGCTTGATAGAGACGAGCTGTTCTCTTCTTACCTTCTTTCAATCTATTTTTTTTCAATCATGAAAATATACTTTTTGATCGGGTTTTTTAGTTTATTGTGTATGCTCTTTTTTAATGTTGTCTAAAGATTTTATATTCAGTGGCAGAGCGCTCCCACCTTTGATTGGGTGTTCTTGTCTATTAATACGATTGATGTTTGTATAATTTCTCCATCTATTAACCATGAACCTGGTTTTAATTTCTTTGGCATTAATAATGAGGCCAAACGCACATCTCCTAAACAACCGTCTTGCTAGGAGATGGGATCACATTAATTGCTTTCACCGGTGAAAGCAAGATTAATTCTACACTTGACTCCTTACTAGTGATTGGCTTGGTAGAACCATGTCGTTTCGTAATTCCTTTTTGGTGGATTATGAAGTCGAGGTGCATGTATTATTTCTCTTAGCTTATTGATGGATCAATTATCTAGATAAAAAGTACTATATGAATACCCTTGAACAAACGAAGATAATTTTTAACATTTATCTTCCAATCCCTTGCCTCAAGCCACCGTCTATCTTCTCTCAAGCCCTTGCTCCGCTGCTCAATCAGGACCATGACCCGTCAACCCCTATAGCAGCGCCGCGCCGCTGCCCAAGTGCAACCCTAGCTTCGCCGTATTTAGCACATGGCACAATCGACCCAAAAAATCCTCATCCTCACCTTCTTTTAATTCTTTTAAATATAATTTTTTTCATAATTCAGTATACTCAGTAAATTGTATTTCAACTAGAAATTCATTAGTTTAACAAGATTCAATCCATTTTATCAATTTCAATATTATAAAGGGCCTAAAAACAATTCAAAGAAAAGAAGGAACTTAAAAAAGAGAGGGAGTAATAATTACCACAAGAGTGATAGATGTTGAAGGTGGTGGTGGTAGGTAAGGTATCTTTGCAGAGGCTGTTGAGCTGTGACTCTATGCCACTCAAGAAAGTCTTAGCTTCATCAAAGGGCTTTGACAACTCTTCTTTATATTTGTACATAAGTTCACAGTAAGATTCCTTGACACCCAATTAAATAAATCATCATTAAAATAAGAAGAAAAACTGCCTGGCCAAACAAAATAATTAATAAACTTCAAAAAAATCATTGTTTATTACCATGAATTCATCAAGTTCAGGATTTGTAGTGATAATCTCATCAGCTGTGGTAGTGGTGGTAGGGTGAGGGCTGACTTGGCTGATCTCTTCAAGAATTGTAGCCATTTCTGGTGGTGCTGCCACCTTCACATAAGAAGATACATATATTTTCAACATTACTGGTGATATATATGAGTAATTTGACCAATACTATAAAAATATTCTTTGTTAAAAGTAGCCTTGTAAATATATAAAATTTATAAATATCATAAAAATATACTATGTACTCGGTATTTGTTAACCAAAAAGGATGGAGTATAACCTAATGACCTCAAATTAAAGGTCATTATATATTATTTGTTGTACGGAAGTACCCACTAGAATATAATGGTTTTTCCCATGCAAGTGTGCAAATGATACATTTTGGGTTCATAATTGTAAGCATATTCCTCTTATATATACTGCACTTTTCACCGAGTGATAAAACATTATTCATCTTATTTATGAAATTGGCATGACATTTGTGATCTAATTTCTTGCATGATTGCCATTTTTTGACCTCTTATTTAGATCCATAATCCAGTACACCATTTTCATCCTCAATTCTCTAGCTATTAAGATTTCAATCTCTTTGTAGCTAGCGCACTACGGGCACATATTTACAGTGGCGGATCCAGGAGTGTTTTTATAGGGCGTGCTGGTAGAAATGACACAGGTAACTTCTGGTCTAGTTCAAGTCCTTAAATTAAAGAATCTTATTATGGATCCCGTACACCCGCGAGGTTCGGGTCCAATTCTCATCCTATTATGGATGGTCCTAAATATTACTACCTCCGTCCCGAAAAAGTTTGTTATATTGACTTTTCTTGAATTAGTTCTGATCCTAGATTTGAATTAGTTCACTCCTATACTGATTTTAGACTGGAATTCTGGTTTTATACATATACCATGTGAAATTAAAAGAATAGAAGAAACAATAGAATTGAGTAATAAGCACCAGATCAGAAGCATATACTAGTATGTGAGATGGAACTATTAGACATTTGGAATTAATCAATGAGCCAAATGAGGAAGAGATTGACTACCTTTCTGCACTGAATATAAGCTGATACTAAGTTGGGATAAAGAGGATGATTAGCAATCTGTGCCTTTACATCATCTGACACCATCATCTCATCAACCCCTCCTACACCACCACCACCACCTTGGCCAACCATAAGATGGTGTTGACTTTGAAGATCCTCACCATAGCCGTTGATCATACTACTCCGACGGTGGTGATCATTTCCATCAGATTCAAGACAAAATCCATTATTGTTGGAGGAGGGAGCATATGAAGTTGAAGTTGATGATGATGGAGCAAGCACTGAGTGAATCCCGTACAGCTCATCCATCATATCTTTCTGTGCACCACCAATAGGGCCAGACCAGGTGATGATATTATGGACCCCCAGAAATACCCACCAAGCCTTAAACCTAATCAAGTCAACTATATATAATACTTACCTTGTTACTAATTACTTTTGCTTTTTTAGGGTTTGGAGCAGTTCATGAATTTTTTTTCTTTTGGGTAGGAAGGAAGGAAAGAGTGGAGGAAATAGCAGACAACAGTAGGAAATGGATGGACTGGGGACAGAAAGAGTGGGGAGGAGAAGACTCTACTATGATCTGAAGACAGCATGACGTGGGGAGGGAGAGAGTTATTAGGTTAGGCACATACGTAGGCGGCTTCGTTCGGTTCTCATCGCACGTTCTCGCACTGTAATATATTTAGGTGTGGACAATTACGTAGAAAGTGATCTCATGTGTACTTTGGCGTTAAATGGTAAAAGTTTCCCCAACTATGGTCTGGTCTGAGAAAGTACATCATATCAAAAGTTTTACGAATCAGCAGAAAAATCAAATTTGATTATGCAAAAATCAAAGCCTGGTATAGTCAGGGGCGGAGCTACTGGGGTCAGGGTGGTCAGCCGACCCCGCTGAAAAATTAAGAGTGTAGAGCTCTGAATTATCTTTGATTTGATATATTATGGCTCTCGTAACTCATTATGAGTAAAAAGTTATGACTTCTGCAAAATCAGCACTATTTAAGTTTGAAATTAGTAAAATTGTGATGCGTAATATTAATTATATTCACAAAATAACGTGTGATTCACTCGTTACTTACGTGACATGACTTAGGGACAAAGCAAACACAACATATCTTACTGCTACAAGTGTCTACTCAATAAATGATTTTTTTCTAGTAAGAAATCTTGATACTAAATTGAGTAAGATCGAGAAGAACCATAGAGTACTAGGGTAAGACAATGGGTCTCTGATATGCACTAATTAGTAGTGCATAAGTGTATGTTTTTATGATTGATTTGTGTGGATTGTTTACCATTTTATTTAGTTTGTAAACATTTGTGTGATTTTAGTTGTATTTGTATTTTAGTTCTCATTTGTAAGTTGTAAAGTAGAGTTAGGATTTATGGTGTTGGAAAGGAAGACTTTGAAGTGAAGAAAAAGGAGATTGGACTTTCCAGGAGCTGAAACCCGACCGGGTAGAACACTTCACCCGGTCGGGTAAGATTTAAACAGACGAAGATAGCTGGAAATTACACAGACCCGGGCGGGTCCCTTACTTGACCCGGTCGGGTCAGATGTGACCCGAAACAAACAGGACATGCCGAAGATCGCCAGAATAGGGAAAAATCTGATTTTGACCAAACCCGGTCGGGTCAACTAGGAGACCCGGTCGGGTCAGACACAACCCGGGACCAAACGACGTGCAGAAACATGAGAGCATGGCAGAATATTTGATTTTGACGTTTACCCGGTCGGGTATGTCCATTTACCCGGGCGGGTCAATGCCCCAGGGTGTTGAAAACACCTATAAATAGCCCCATTTTCCTTCACTTTTCATCACTCCTTCTTCCATACTCTTAAGCTCAGTTTAGAATAGTATTTCTTTTATATTTTTATAGCATGTTTAGTCTCCAAATGAGGAGCTAAACTTCCATTTCTTGGTGTTGCTCTTGAAGCTTGTTGATTATTAAAGTTGTGAGTTATTTTCTTAACTTCTTTCCTTGAATATTAATGCTTCTCTTAAATACTATTTCTATATCAATGTTGGGGAGTGTTGCTAAGATGACAATTAGTTAACATCTTGACATTGGTCTTAGTAATAGCTATTCCTTCCTCTATGTTAATATTGGGGAGTGTTACTAAGATGACAATTAGTTAACATCTTGATATTAACTATAGTAGGATTCATTTTCCTTAATATTCTTCCTTGAGTATTAATTAATTCCTATTCATATTTCATATTAATATTTTTGAACATTACTTAAAGGATCAACTAGTTTTGTTTCAAATATTAATTATTACTAGAAACGATCAATGAACTGATGGTTAATCGTTGATGGTTTCACAAGTAAGTAACTTCGGTTTATTAATGCACGGTCGTGGTTAGTAAACATAAGAGGGATTAATTTTGTTGGTTAAACCGAAACCGTTGTGTTGAGGTTATCAATCTCAATTTATTTCATCAAGGAGTTAAGAGATTAAATGCTACTATCAAGTAGGTATATGGCGTTGTTCTATACTTGACTAATAGTAAGGGTTATTAATGAACGGGGTCGTTGTTAATAACTTTCCTCGATGAATTGGATATACTCCTCGATTGAGTATTCGAGAGGAGATAAGTTATAGATATAACAATGATCGACTGAAATATATCAACAAGTGAAAAGTAGCAATGCCAAGTCCTTTTTATCTTTGAATTAAATCACATATAACTAGTTCATCTTCGTGTTTAATTTAATTAAATCATTCAACCCAAAACCTCCCTTTATTTACTCCTTTCGTTAAAAAGATAAATTATTCCTTTCCCTGTGGATACGAACTCTACTTCACCTATACTACGTATAAGTGTTAGTATTGAATTTATTTTGAGTGCACTCACGACAAAGTGCACGTCAGTCTCATCCGAGGTATTCAACTCAACCCGTATAAAACAAGTTTATAATATATGTGACATATACGAAGTATATTAAATACATATACTCTATTAGTTTCATTTATACTATCATTTATCTAAGCTACATTCAATTCGGCTATTGTCTAAAAATAATATACCGTTTTCATTCTATGTAAATTTGATTTCAACCCCGCTGAGTCATTTTTCTGGCTCCGCCCCTGGGTATAGTAGGTAATCAACAGGTCAGGTTCTAATAAAAGAAGATGGGTGCAAATATGGGATTGCTCTGGAATTATGTAAAGGTGGAATTATTATGAGAAGACCAGTGAAAAAGTGAGATTATTCTTGTCAATTTTTTCAAAGAAAAATCAAATTTGATAAAGGTTTGATATATAAAGTAACAGATTAAGAGTGGTTTGTGTTGACTAAGTGAATAAGAATCATGATCATCAAATTAAGATGGATGTAGTCAGGGGCGGATCCAGGAATTTTAGATGCCCTGGGCTAATAGAAATTATACTAGGTTTAAATATTAGAGCGATGGGCTAAACGTGAAAAATGAAAATATTTACACTAAAAAATTGATTTTTTTAAGTTGTCATGGGCTTCAGCCTATCATAGCCCGTGCATAAATCTTCCCCTGAATGTCGTACTCTGTATTACATTTCAATATATACAGTATAGTGTCATTTGAGGAGGAGAAGGAGGAGGGGGTGGATTATCGGCCAAGGTAGGATGAGATGGTGAGGTTATAATTAAGGCCTCACCCTTTTGTGATTTTCGATTAGATCAAAACTGGAAGCTCGAGGGTCGGCTATGCTAAAGGGTACGTTGGCGGAGATTAGAAGAGGGTTTTCTAATCTAAAGATAAATGAGGATGGTGAAGGGAAATTTATTGAAGGTGGAAGTGAAAGTTTTGTGGCTAACTGATGGTCTCCAGAGAAAACAGAAGCTTTGGGTATTTGTCGAGTTATTCAGTGGTCAATGGAAAAAGGTTGGACTCGAGTGGAGGTTGAAACAGATGCACTTATATATGGTAGTTTCTGGGTTAAAAGCTAAAGCGGTGTTATCCTACTTTGATTTAATTCTGGATGATATTAGACATGTATTGGATCAGAGTAGTGATCATATAATTATTAAGCATTGTGATAGATCAGCTCACCGAGTTGCTCAGCTCATTTGATTGATAGGGCATGTGTTTATGTGTTGGTTGCAGGATTGTCTTCGGGACACCTCGAGCTTATATTGTATGCACTTTCGCCAACCACATCATTGAGTAATGAAAGTGAAGAATTTTTTCCTTGTTTTTAATTAATTGAACCGGCTTAAGTTCAAGATTAGACCAAATTAAATTAAATCATATAAGGCATATATAATTAGATCAGAATAGACATCGTCCACTATAAAGTACGCATAAAACATGCATCTAATAAATCGGACTAGATCGATCAGACCAATTCAGTTTAGATTAGACCAAACCGGACTTAACAGACCAGACCAGCCCAGATTAAATTAGACTAAATCAAACTTAAACAGACCACGTCGATCATACCAAACCAAAAATCTTGAATACCCAATCTGTTTTTTTTTTAAAGTATGCCATTTATCATTCTAAAGAAAACAAGTACGTACGTAATATAATTTAACAGAATCTCATTTAGAAAGGTTAATTAGTTTACACTTTGTGTGTGGTAAAATATACATAAAAGGATACTTCCGTCCCAAAATACTTACCCAAATTCAAAACTTTGACCAATTATACACATTTATTGAAAATTAGTAATATTTTGTTTTGTGAAAATCATTTATTTATTACTAAATACGGAGTAGGTGTTTTTTTAGAATGAGTATGTATTTTTATTAAATAAAGATAAAGATGTTACTTGTTTTAAAAATTATAAGGTGAAAACGAAGATATATAATGATTTTTTATGACAATAAAGTTTTTGTTACGTTGGATCCTCTCTATTTTATTATTAAAATAATAATATTATTATTATTATTAGATTGCTAAAACCAATTTATAACACCAATACTCCTCGCATCTACTTCATCGATCTGATTTCTATAAACATGTCACATATAATTAATTTCATTCCAGGACCAAATCTAACCAGAGTATACACATCACTCAGGCTTGACTACATTTTGAATGGTATTAATTATATTAAATTAATTAATTCAAATCCAATTGTAAAGCTACAGTATTGAAATGAAACAGTAGATTTTTTATTAATTTTAAAAATGTTTTGTTTATAATTTTCTCAAGTTGATATTTTGTTAATTAATACTCCCTCCGTCCCCTTTTAAATGTCTTGTTTTACCATATTGGGATGTCCCTATTTAATTGTCTCATACCTTATTTGGTAAACTTTGTGTGGCTCAAAATCATTCTTACTTTATTCTTACTTTATCAATTAATATCAACCACACAAACTCATTTTTCTTAAAACCCGTGCCACCATCTCCCGTCCCATTTAAAAGGGGACGGAGGGAGTATCTTTTTTCTTATTTTTAACTTAAAAAATACATATTTTATGTACTTATTTTAAAATATGCCTTTTCTTAGAGTATCACATTGTTGGGAAATGAGTTAACAAGAAATAACCAACGTGACAAGCTAAGCGAAACTACAATGTACATAACAAATCATTGTAAATACTCTTATTCGGCTACCTTCGAAGCCGAATACCGTACCAATCCAAACATAAATCTAGTTTAAGATCTTAAATTTGCTTTAGGGTCTTATTAATTACTAACAAACAGTTCTAAGAACTATGTTTAAGCGTTATATTAACTATTTATGTATTGGCTTAAAACCTCAACTATGCAATGCTCCAGCAGTATTGGACAAATGTATGGAGTATTATCTGATCTATCTACTGCCATAGTATAGAATCCTGCATGTTACAAATCTAAACCTGGGACTGCACTGATTGTGGTACCAAACAACAAACAAACCTTAATGGAACGAAAGGAAACCCAACGCCGAATATTAGGCAAATGTTTGCCACCACGGCACCACCTATGTGTGTGACCTATGTGTAGTTTATGAAAATAGCCAATCAATAATGTTTTAGACAAACTTGTGATAAGACTGGGCAGGCCACACTGACCACATAAGCAAGACAAAAGTATGAAAAATATTGTGAGGACCCTATGTGCAATACCTTAATTAGGAAAAAGCCATTTGGGTGCATTTACTTCAAAGTTCAAACAGTGTACACACGGACTGACAGAGGGAACCCCCAAATGGATATACTCTCTATTTTCTGGGTTTAGTAATTTAAGGGAGAGGTCTCGAGCTCAATCCAAGTAAAGAGCCTGTTTGATAATCTTGTTTTTTGTCTTATCGGACTTATTAGTCAAACACTACACCAAATACGTAACTTTTGATTTCATGCGCTGAATAATACGCAGTAAGAAAAAGTAATGTTGAAGTTATTGTTTTGGCTGAAAATAATGTAGATGATCATTTTAGCTAATTTTCATGTGATTTTTTTTTTATTTTTTTAATAAAATGTATTTTAAATATTATTTTTTAATAAATCAGCAGAATCAGCCAATCTAGTCACTTCAACCAGAACTTCATAAATTTCAGTAGAATTAGTTGATTTAATCGATTTCGGTATTGCCAAACAGGCTCAAAATTAGACTTGGAATTGAAACTCACTCTATTTTTATTAAACTGATCAAAGCTCAATTCAATCTTTCTAGATAAATATATGTCCGCAGTCCATTCCGGGATCCTCAGAAATGGAGTGTCATTTTTTTCTATTTTCTCCACATATGGTCTATTAACTTTCATTATCAACTATCAAAAATACAAGAATAACTACATCCATGTAAAGTTACCCCATATATTATTATTCAATATTCACAAAATCAAGTAATATCATTTGAATGTTTGATTTTATATTTCATCGGTGGAAAGTCCTAGTAGCTTCTCTATCAGAGTTAATTTCTCTTACAAGATTTCTTGGTGGAAGTACTTGATTCATCTAGGTTTGTTTTTCTATTAATTTTGATTTCATTTTTTGATGGTTTTTCATAAACAATGAATATAGCTTTCTTTAAAGCCATTGTATTCCTTGATTTTGGTTGTGTTGCTCCTCTCAACTCTCAAGCAATCATTCGGCCTTGACATCATTGTTCTTCAAGTTTGTCACGAGTCACGACACCTCATCAACTTTAGTGGCCTCAGTGGAGGAGCTGGGCGGGGGCATGGAGGGGCAAGCGCTCCCACTTCGCGCCAAAAAAATTAGTACTACTATTTATAATATATTTAATGTTCCCCTTCTTTTTTAAAAAATAAATACTTATTAAAGACCATTTTAGATTAAGTATTAAAATAAAAGGCAAAATCTTTCACGAAACGTGTCTCTAGGAATACAAGTATGTACTGACTGCAGCGTACGTCACTCATTTGAATGCAAGTGTGGATTATTTTAGATCTTTAATGCCACACGAGTTGACTTTTTGTGATGATAGTGCAAAAGAGTATTGGAATTAACAAATATGTTGTCACATTTCTTGAAACAAAATGATCAAAACATTCTCGAGACTGTGTTGGATTCCTTCCTTAATGGAAAAATTCATGAGCATTTTAGAATTTGCAAAGATGTCTAGGATTTTGTATATGTGTGCATAGAAATATTGAATGTTCTAGAATAATATTGGTAAGTTTTCTATAAAAGTGTGGAACTCACTAAAATCGTGTGGAAGAGTGTGAAAGCCTCTAAAACATTTTGAATTGTTGAGTTCTCTAGATCCTTCCATTATAGTAGAGAAGCTTGTGGATACTTGTTGGAACTTGGAAGAATGTAAATGTCTAATGGTGTATAAAAAATTCTAAAGAAGCTTTGATGAGATTAGTATAGATAGGGGTAATACTGCTCATTTCTATCAGAACATTTTGAGTTTTGAGTGTTTAGATGAGTGTACAGGAGTTTTATGAGCTCGTTTTCCTATGCAAAATTTTGAACATATTAAAACTCATATGATTGATTTATCCAGATTATAGATATGAGTCAAGTAGAATGTAATGACTAATTTGTACTAAACTACTAATGCATTCCTTTTTTTATTGTTTTTATTATATTTTGAGAAAATACACCATAAATCTTAGTCTTCGGTACACCCTTTCAAAAATTCTCTAGCTCCGCCACTGGGTGGCCTTGAAATCTTGAATGTTCTCGTACTTTAACCACTGCAATTTCTACCTAAAATCCAACACTGCCATTTCATAAGAATAATTACTTTGTACTTTACAAGTACAAAGTTAATCAAAGATTTTTTGAAATTGAATAGTGTCTATTCAATTTTGTGTCTTACTTTTCTTTTGTGAATTGTCTCAAAATAAGTGTCTTGTTTTCTTTTTGAAAAGAAATGTTATCCACAAAATTTCATTTACTATACTCGAACATCAGCCACAATTTTTACTTTTTCAATCAATTTATTAACAATTGTACCAAATCAAAACGAGACACATAATATGGGGCGGAGGTTGTATTTATCATTAAAGAGTAGAAAAGACACGCACTCTACACTGCAAGACATGAAAACTACTACTAGGGGTACGTTTTTACAATAGCTCTATTTACTAGTTTTACAAAGAGGGTTCAAAAATAAGGTAAAGCCAACATACACTAATTTCAACAAACAATATGTTAAATAAATGTGTCTGAGCTTAAACTCGCCTAATCACTTGTACACTCTTTACTTGACTGATCAAACCATGGCCATAAACTCTCTAACACCGAGCTGCTTTGAGGAAGTTGTCAAAGGGACTAGCAGGCGGTAGCCTAAGAGCTAACCACGGCTCTTTTGGTGCCACTGAATCCTCTGCAGATGTGCCTTCATCAATTGCCTGTACAACGGTTGCCTTAAAAGCCGAATGAATAAGTACTATGTAACAATGAAAAGCCAATCAATTTTGAATAACCTATTTTATGGAAACGTGCAGACAAACAAATTCATTGAACTAAACTATATATGGAGATAAGCAACAGTTCAGTTTCTCTATTGCAAGGAAAAACTTGGCTTGAGGCAATGGCGATCTCACATAACTTGCTCCCATTTGACCGACCCATCACAAGTTTCAACTTAATATATACAATACTTAGGGATTAAAAACCTTGGACTACCAATTTAATATTCTAGTTACAATTTATGGGCTAAACTAGCCTCTTTCCCACATATTTTCTTTAACACTCTTTGTTAGTTTATTGAATT